CCAAAACAACTTAATAGGAGAGAACTATTTGGTTTGTTGTTTGGCTTTGGTGCTGGGGTTTGAATGTCACATGTGCTGAGTAAGCACTCTACCACCACGCTACATCCTTGTCCCTCAGTTTTCACATCTTATTTGGACATGGGGCCTCACTAAATTATGGGTGCTGACCTTGAACTCATTCTGTAGCCTGGGCTGGCCTTGAACTTGCAGTTCTCCAGCCTCAGCCTTCCAATTAGCTGGGATTACAGGACTTGTGGCATAGGGCCAATTAAAAATACTCTATTCAACAAATGGTGCTGGGCCAGCTGAATACGTGCAAAAGGGTAAATGTGGACTCTCTTCAGCACCATACTCCTTCCTCAAAATACGATGCGGAGTGCAATATATATGTATGGAGATGCCACAATGAAACCCATTATTTTGTACTCTAATTAAAAAATTAATAAAATACTAAGTCAAAATAAATCACTGACCTGAATGTAATAATTAAAACTACATTTCTTTCTTCTTTCTATTTTTTTTTTAACACAGTGTCTTACTGTGTAGCCTGGCTGATTTGGAACCTGTTATACAGAACAGATTGGCTCTAGCTTATGGCGATCCTTCTGTCTCTGCCTTCTGACTGTTGAGATTATGGTGTATGCTACAATGCCTGGCAAAAAACTCAAAATTCTTCTGGAATAGAGATGTATCTCAGTGGTAGAACATGTGTCTAGGATGTGGGATGTGGATGCTTAATCCACACCTAGATAAATAAATATCTCCCTAGAGGAAACAGAGATGCAAGGGAATCTAAGCTATAACACGGAAACAAAAGTGTCAACATTAAGAACAATTGGATTTTAAGCATAAAATCTTTTCTGTTTCATGGGCCAGTGAGACAGCTCAGTTGACCTCACTCCAGTCTTCAGAACCCACAGTGAACAAAGAAAAGTGATTCCCAAAGTTGTTCTCTGGTCTCCATGCGTGTACCATGGTGTACTCCCACATATATACATACAAATAATAATAATAATAATAATAATAATGAACACTTTTGTGTTTCAAAGGATACCATCAAGAAAATAAAAAAGCAGGTTGATATCCATGAGAGACCTCTCCTATTCTGAGGAGAAAGGGAGGACTGACTGGAGAGTAGGTGGGGGGGAGGAGGGGTAAGAGGGAAGAAGTGGGAGAAGAGGAGGGAGGGGAAGATGCGATGGAGAAATAAAGTAAATAAAAAAAATACAACACAAAAATTCCTCTTTGTATTAACATATAGTACTTCAATAATACTGTGTATAAGACTGCTGTGTATAAGTTCACTAACATAGTAGTAGAATAATTAAATTATTTTAATGTTGCTTTGAAATTGAAAAACGAAGAAAAGGAAGAAGAGGAAGAGGAGGAAAAGGAGGAGGGGAAGGAGGAGGAGAAGGAGGAGGAGAGTAAAAAGAAAAGGGTAAATTACAGAATGAAAGATAAACCTTTTAAGACACCTGACAAGGACCTTATATCCAGAGTACATGAAACCTATCAAAACTCTCATATAAAAAACAATTAAATTATCAACGAGAAATCTTAATAAACATTTATCAGAAAAATAGATACAAGTGGCCCTTATGCATGCAGACCGTTGCTCAGCACCATTAGTAATTAGGAAAGTACAAGTCAAAACCCCAATACAATCTTCACACCCACAAAAATGTCCATGATGATACCCAATGTTAGTGACGATATAAGGCAATCATTGTCATATAATGCTACTAAGCACGTAGAACGGAAAGTACCGAACCACACAGCCACTGGGTAGTTCTTTCCTAGTAGCATATATACCAAGAGAAATGAAAAAGTTTATCCAAATAAATTCTTGTACATAAATGCTCATAACAGTGTTATGTATAATGGACAAAGAGTGAAAACTACCCACGTTTACAAATTGAAGAGTGTATAAATAAAATCTGTTATAACCATGTAAAGACATATACTGATTAGTGCTTCATGTGGGCAAACCATGAGAACACCATGCTAAGGGAACGATCGCACGTCAGGATCCATTCATGTAGCATATTCATAATGTGCAAATGCAGAGAGGCAGAAAGTAGATTAGTGGTTCCCTGAGGGTAGGGTTCAGCGGCAAAGGATGACAACTATGACACCAAGCCTTCTTCAGGGGTACTGGAAATATTCATGGATTGAGGGGTTGCCATGAATGTACCCATCTGTGACAATACTTTTAAAACACCAAGCTTATATTTAAGTAGGCAGCCTTTACACTATGTAAACTACACACCTCAGTAACTACAAAGGAAGTAAACCCCAGACAGCCCAGCTTTGCATTCTAGCTCAGTTGCTGTTGTGATATATCAAGGTCCTTCCCCATAGGACCCTGGCATTTGCCGTCTCATTAAATAGCTGTACTTCACTGTGTGAGCTACTTTTCTATTGCTGTGATAAAACTCTATGACAAGGACCTTATAAAAGACAGTTTCCTTGGACTTAGAGTTCCAAAGAGCTGAGAATCCTGTGACATGGAGTAGTGACAGCAGGTATCAAACATGGATGCAGTAACAGCTGAGAGGGCCTATCTCCAACTACAGACAGAAAGCAGAGGGTACAAACTGGGAATGGCTTGTGGCTTTGAAATCTCAACATCCCACCCCACCCCTGCCCCAGTGACACACTTCTTCCAGAAAGGCCACATCTCCTAAACCTACCCCCAGCAGTGCTACCAACCGAGGAGACCAAGTATTCAAACATCTGAGCCTATAGGGACATTTTCGTTCAAACCATCACAGTTGACTTCATTTATGTCTCTCTCATCCCTCATCCATTGTCTGTGATTGTCCCTGTTTCTGTTTATCATTATTGTGGCAGTGAACATTTGGTTCTTAGTTGGTGGCTATTTGGGAAGGATTAGGAGGTGTGGCCTTGTTGAAGGAAGTATGTCACTGGGGCGGGCTTTGATGTTTCAAAAAACTAGTTCTATTTACTCCCAGTGTGTTCCCTGCCTCCTGCTTACAGATTAAGATGTGATCTAGCTATACCTACCAGCAAGCCTTTGCTGAACCGTCATGAACTCACCCTCTGACACCCTCTGTCAATTTCATTGACATAAAGCTCAATGAAATTCTTTCTTTAGTCAGTTGCCTTGGTCATGGTGGGTTTTTTTTCTCACAACAACAGAAAAGTAACTTATACAATTATCAGTCACCCTGTTTTATTTTTCTTAGAGCATTAGTCACTTCCTGAAATCATCTTGTCTCCTAGTTTACGGTTCCTTGTTTTCCTCTCTCACTAGAATATAAGCTCTGTGAGAACAGGGCCATTACCTGAGTTGTTGTTGCTGCCACTTATGTCGGTGACACTGCCTGACATACAGGAAGCATTCGATAATATTTACTGTATGTTGCATGAATGGAAGATGGCTAATCACCAAGCTTCCCCGAATCTCTCTAAATCTTCATTTTTGTTAGTGACAAGATGTCATAATAATAATTGCACTTAGCCCATAAATAACAATATGTGCAAAAACACAGCTCATTATAGACATTCAATAAACATGAATAGTGATTTTTGTTACGATCCCCACAACTACCATTAACCTGTAATTAAGATGCCCCACATGACGATCATGATCGCCTGAAAAGTGCTATTTTCACTGGAAAATAAATGATTGAGTCCCTTCTTCAGGGGTGGCCAAGCTTTGCATTCAAGGGTCCTAGGATTTTGGATCCTCTTTAAATGAAGGTCGATAAATAACAGCTACAGTTATTACATCTTTTCCCTTCTTTTAAGAAACTTGGGGTCTGGAAATTGAATGTATGGTATAATGTACCTAAAAATATTCTCTACCATTGAGTTACATCCTGGGCCAATAACTGTAATTATTACTGGGGCTATCTCTGTTATAAAGAAAACAAGAAAGAAGGAAAAAGAGAGAGAGAAAAATACCAAATGACAATGCCTCCTCTTAAGTAAAAGAGAGAATGGGCAGATCTTTTATCTGTTGATAATAACATAATAACTTTCTATCCATTTTCTCAATAGTTTAGTGAATGCCCTTGAGTACAAACACAATAGCCACTTGATGTTTGACCCTCCTTGTTGGATTAGAAAAGCCGGGTTATGAGGTCAGTGAGGCAGGCATGTGAAGCAGTGAGGAGTGCCGTGGTGTGTGGAAGCAGGTCATGCAGATGGCAAGTGATGTCTACCTACCAGTCAGCATCCGCACGGAGGCTTGTTCTCCTGCAGTCGCTCTCATTAAAAGTCAGGGGGTGTCTCAGCTACCTTCCACTGACTTTTTGTGAAAGAGATGGTATGTTACAGTGGCAGAGCCATCAGGGAAATTATGGTCCTGCTCCAGGAACAAGTGACCCTGAGGACCTCAGTGGCTTACACCAGCAGTTGACAAGTCACTCAGCCTCTCGCCCATCAGAAGTCCGCTGTGAGGCTGCTCCCATTTGTCTTCACTCTGTGGCCTGCGCTGAGGGGGCAGCTGCTATCTAAAACACGTCAAGGGAAAGAAAAGATGGCATGAGGCTACCTCACATGGATGCACCTCACTTCCATAACCTGCATTTCATCAGCTAAAAGCAGCACAGTAACAGACACCATCTTCCAATACGAAAGAAACATGGAATATTTTGAGAAAGGTGATACAACCTACTGTAGTTGTCTTCATTAATTTTAGAACTTGGTCTGGGAGAGGCCTGAAGGAGCTTCACTTTTAAATTTTAAAATGCCCTTTCAGGTAGGAAGGAAAAAAAGTTCTTATGAGATGCAACTGAAAGTACAGTGTAATGAATTACCACATGTAACAGGAACACTAGAATCTAGATACAGAAAAACACACATAAAAATACAAATAAAGGCATACTTTCAGAAGTCTGTCTCTCAAGAGAATGTAGTTTAGATGACTTCCTTAGACCTCTGCAGATTTTTCTTTGTCCTCCTGGGCCACAGTCACAGAGTGATTCCATGAATTTCCCTGAGGACTGAGGGAGGCATCTGTCTTTCAGGAAATTGGAGCCTGTGCAGCGGATGATCTGTTGGATGCTGGGAAAGTGCAGATTCCTGACAGCACCGGTGACGCCAGCCTTGACAGCACTAATTTCTGGGAGGTGAGTGTTTACCAGCATGTATCACGGCTGTTTAAAGGATCGATGGTGGTTAAGGGCTGAATTATGTAACCCCAAGCCAATGCACGTTGAGGTCCTAACCCCCAGTACCTCAAAAAAAATGGAGATAAGGGCTTTTAAGAGATAGTTAAGTTAAAATGAGGCCTTTTAGGGTGGGGTCTTATTTAACATGAGGCTATTCAGGCCCAGGGCTGAACTCAATGGTAGAGCACCTTTCTTCCATGTGCAGGGATATGGGTTAGATTCCCAGCACTCCCAAACAAACAAAAAACTAGGAGAGACCATGTGGCAATTCAGCAAGAAGACAGCTATGTGGCCTAAGGAAAAAGCTCAAGCAGAAACCAGACTCGCTGACACATTGGACTGGCAGCTTTGAGAACCATGAAGAATTTCTGATATTTGAACAACTTAGTCTATGGAATTTTGTTATGATGGCCCTCCAGACTAACATGGTGGTTCTTTTGAGTATCACACACAGATGTGGTAGACAGGAAAGGCGTTATCATTCTTCCCCCAGGGTTGGAGGTCAACCCGGGCTTCAAACGTGCACGGGCTTAGACTTCTTTCCTTTTCACGTAAAAGGCGGTGGGTGTCATCCTCTGGTCCTCCCTAGTCTCAGTAGTTGGTTATCTGAGAAAACCTTGAGAGAAGAAGTCCTTCACTGTGGTTGTCATGCACAAGCCTCTGAAAAGCTCTCACCTTTGGGAATACTCTATTCACCAACTCAAAAGAAGGTCTCTTTAGAGATTTTCATTAATTGGTAGAGATTGATCCAGATGTGCTTAAAGCCAGGGGGAAAATGTCATTTTAAATGATGCTTAATTACAGAGAACTCTTAATAACATGGAAAAAATGATTATATTATCATTTAAGTGAAAAAATCAGCATGCAAAATTAAACTATATAGACAGAACTACCTTATCTATATAATCATATGCATAAGGGAAAGACTGACTAGAAATCTATGTGAACATTAGCTTTTCCTTGTGATGCCATTATAGGTTATTTATGTTTTCTTCTTTATATATCCTGGATTTCTGAATTTTTCATATTGAGCATGTGTGAGCTTTATAAACAGAATCAGGCTTCTGTTTTAAGGATGGGGAGTTGGAGCAGAGTGCATGTGACCCAGTGTCACAATGAGAGCCATCTCCAGGAGATGCAGGCTCCAGAGCTCACAAGTCAGATCCAAATCCATCAGAAACATGTGGTCCAGACTCCCCGCTTCCATGACTAGGAATTACAACTCCTTTTTCAAATAAGTCTCTGAGAGCTCCTCCTCCCCTCAGACATCTAAGCTCTGCCTCTGAACTTGTATTCTTTCTTGGATTCAAGTTGCCTATGCTATTCTTCACCAATGACCCAACTTAACCTTTTCCATCCCTCCCACATACCTTGCCCCCAACCCTTTGTACCCTTAAGCTGCCCTGGCACCTGTGGCTTCCATGAGCAAAGTGGCTACAAAGTAATACGCAGGAAGTAATGGGGAAGGGGGAAATATTGGGAGAAATGCTTCCAGAGTTTTCTTCTCTGCAGTATGACTCTCCTGGCTCCTCCTGGCTTCCTCCTTGCTCCTCCTCTGTAGCTGAGTACCTACACCAGACTGGCTCAAGGGTGATGTACACAGAGGTCATGCTTGGCTGAACTCCGTCTACCTTCCCCTCACAGAAAGGCTTTCATCTGGCTCTTTTCCTCCAAAGCCAGCTTCCTCACCCAGCTTCCAACCTCAGTTTGCACAGTCTTGGTCAAATGTTACTTGTGATTGAGCCTGAGTACCTAGCCATGGGACATGGCATTCCTATTAGATCTCACAGTTGATCTTTATCAATAACCAAGAATGGTATAAGCTGACTAATACCTCTTTCCCAAACCTTAGCGTTGATATGCTACCCCACCCATCCCCATTTCCCCCAGCCAAGCGATACCGGTTAGTTTTCTGTTGCTGTGATAAAATGTCATGACCAAAAGCAACTTGAAGAGTTTCTTTTGGCATTTGGTTCCAGAGAGCTCTAGAGGGAGGCATGGCGGGAAAGCGTGGCATGGACATAGGAGCAGAAAGCTGGCTGATCACATTTCATCCACATCCAGGAAGGATGGGAAGGAAACAGTAAGTGGGGTGAGGCTCTAAGCCCTCAGAGCCCACCTTCCTCCTCCTCCTCAAGGCTCCACAACCTCTCCAAACAGCACCATCAACTTGATTCAAGTATTTGAGCCTAAGGAGACATTTCTCATCCAAACCAGCACAGATGGTCTTAGAGGCTGGGTCCACGGAAGTGATTAAGCCGTGAGAGAGGAACCCTCATGAGTAGGCAGAAAGCCTTGCTCTTTTCATCCCATGAAAAGATATATTGGGAAAACACCAGTCAGTGTTCTGGAAGGTCCTGGAGGACCCTTTACCCCAACCTGATCATGCCAGTAACCTGATTTAGACTTCTAGTCCAAATCAATCTTGAGAAACATTTCGAGAAACAAGAACATACCTATCAGATACCTGGCCTTTGGCCTATTCTTACCACAATCTGAACTAAGATGAAAGTGATGTTTAGGACTCCATCTGTTCACCCTTTGTTTGGAGCTCAGGTAAAGAAGTGCTGTTAGAGATGGAGAGATGGTTCAGCAGTTAAGAACACTGGCTGCTCTTCCAGAGGACTGAGGTTCAAATCCCAACACCCACACAGCAGCTCACAATTGTCTTGTAACTCCAGGAAGCAACACTCTCACATAGATGTACATGAAGACAAAGCATCAATGCACATGAAATAAAAATAAATATTAAAAAGAAAAATATTCTAAATGTAAAAATAAAGTGCTATTAATGAGATCTCCGTTTCTCAAAAAGGAAATGACTCAGGAGCCTACTCTGTCCCGCCAAGAAGGAGCTTCATACGTGTTGGTGACTTTAATACTTTTGTGCTAGCGTATTCTCACACAGTGCCTGAGAAAAGGGAAGAATGACATGTTCTGCTCACAGTTTCAGAGGTCTCAGCCTGTGCTTGACTGACTCCATTGTTTCTGGGCCAGGAAGAAGCAAAGCATCATAGGAGAAGAAGGCGGAGAAGAAAGCTTCATCATCTTGTAACAGTCAGGAAGCAGAGAGAAAGAACCGGAGGAGGCTAGAACCAAGCAGGCCTCCCAAGGGACACCCACAGCACCTCACTTCTTCCATCAAGGTGACACCTCTCACGGTTTTGCCACCTAATAATCAATTCAAAATTGAAGCCCATAATGGATTCAACCCTTAGATTTGGTCAGTACCCTCCTAATGTAAACTGCCTCCAAAGTTTCCACCAGAGGCTAGCTTTACTCATTCTCTGGCATCTCTCAACCCAATTGGGTTGCCAGTCAAGATTAACCATCTCAACCGCAAAACACATGTGTCATTTTCCCTGTCACAAATAAGGAAACAAAGGCTCAGAGAAATTAAGACATTTGTCTAAGGTCTCATAGTACGTGAGTGGCGAACATCTGTCTTAACATGATAGACAAGCGCTTCTTAGTGCTTAAGAGCTGGCTTGTCTGCGGCCCCTGATGCACTTCTCAGGAACTGAGGCAGCAACTCTATGTTCCTTAAAACCTAATCATGCTAAACCTTCATTAATAACCAACTGAGTTATCAACTGAGCAGCATGCCAGATTGGCAAAGATGATGACGCAACTGAAGGACAAGAGGCACAATTGTATTAAAACTACCGATAGGAAAGCACCTAACATTAAGAAATATATTTCCCCAGACATCGCAGAAACATTTTCCCCACTTTGAATCAGAATCTTACTCTGTAGCCTAGGCTGACCTGGAACTCATTGTGTAGCTCAGGCTAGACTCTAACCCATTGTGATCCTCCCGAATACTAGGATTAGGTGTAAGAGAGCATGCTCCTCTTCGTGAGCCAGTGGGCAGTTACCTCACCTCCTTTACTCTCAGTTTGTGCTCAGTGCTAACTAGTCCTGCTTGCATCAGACCACTCCGTGTTTATCCGAGGCTGTCATCAGAAACAGCTGTCCCTTGACGCCCGCTTGCTTTTGGAAAACAAATGTATGTCCTACTGCAGATAGACTGAAAATAATTTAAATGAATAATGAATTCATCTAACCATACATAAAAACCAGAGGTAGTGAGTTAATAAGCAGAAAAATGATACTAAAATTTAGCTCCATGACCTTTTAAACAGACAAACAAAGAAGATGTTTGACTGACCCCTAAAGGCAGTCAGCTGGCCAGCTGAACCTCAGTCCTTTTGGGTGAGCCAGAAGATACCCAGCTGCCAAGGGACCAGGAACTGTTTACAGGATCTCAAACCACTGCTACTTTCTTCTCATCTTCCCAAGAAAAACTCAGAAAGTACAAGGGTACCCCGCAGGCCACTAAGCACATCTCCAATTGTCCCCCAGGGAAATCTGATGTTGAAAAATGGCACTTTTCCAAAATAGTGGTTCAAGCCAGATGAGGAATTACAGAAAAGATGGCCTTCCATGGAAAAGACTCTGCCTCCAAATCCCTAATGTCTTCATTAGGGAACCTAAACGCAGGCTCAGCAGCTGGTCTCCACTGCTCTGAAGCACTGTGGTACAGGGGGAGGAACAATGTGTGGGGCTGGTGACAAAGCAGTTCTCCTTCTGGGCCCCAGCCCTGCCAGCATTTAGCTGGGTGATCTTGGCAGAGGTACTTGTGGGCCTGATTTGTTCAATGAGACTCAGCCAGACTATGAGGCTTCCTGGTTCTAAAATCCTGTCATTGCTCATTTTTGGATCGGCACCTTTCATTTGATGAAAATCAAGGCAGGTTCTTGAGTGTTTTCTACTATTTCAAAACCACACTACCCTCCTTTCTATCTTCCTTGGTGGCTTCCCTTGCACTTGATTGAAGATAAATCTCCAGGGTGGTATTCAGAACTTGTGATTGAGACATGG